CCAAAACCACTTAGATTAAATAAAGAGGAACAAAAATCATTTGATAAAGCGGAAATTTGTCATATTTGTAGTAAAGAATTAAAAAAAGATAAAGTAAGAGATCATTGTCATTTTACTGGAAAGTATCGTGGAGCAGCTCATAACAAGTGTAATCTTATGTGTAAAAAAACCAAGAATACTACCAGTTATATTTCACAATCTTAAAGGTTATGATGCTCATTTGTTTATAAAACAACTTGCTTGTTTACCAGGTGAGTTAAATTGTATTCCATCTACGGAAGAAAAATATATTTCCTTTTCAGAAAAGATTAAGGTTGGTGAGTATAAAGATAAATATACTGGAATAATTTTACCAATAAATTTTGAAATAAGATTTATAGATTCATTCAAGTTTCTTCAAACATCACTTGCCAATCTTGTTTCAAATCTACAACCAGATGATTTCCATAATACAAAAAAAATATTTAAGAAGGATGTAAAATTATTAACTCGTAAGGGAGTTTATCCTTATGACTATGTTTCATCACTCGAAAAATTATCTGAAACACAACTTCCACCAAAAGAGGAATTCTATTCAAAACTGAATGATGAAGATATAAGTGATGATGATTATCAACACGCTATTAATGTTTGGAATACTTTTGAGTGTAAAACAATTAGAGATTATCATGATCTTTACCTTAAGTCTGATGTTCTACTTTTGGCAGATGTTTTTGAAAACTTTAGAAAAACTTGTCTCAAACATTACAGATTAGATCCAGCACATTATTACACATCTCCTGGACTAGCTTGGGATGCATGTCTTAAAGAGACAGGTCAAAAATTACAGTTACTACATGATTATGATAAGTTAATGATGTTTGAGCGTGGTATTCGTGGAGGAATATCCCATATTTCAAAAAGATATGCGGAAGCAAATAACAAATATATGAAAGATTATAATCCTGATAAAGAGTCTACTTATACTCAATATCTTGATGCAAATAATCTATACGGTTGGGCAATGTCACAACAACTTCCAACACATGGATTCAGTTGGATGAAAAATATAACAAAAGAAAAAGTAATGGACATCCTAGATAAGGCAAATCATAGTATGTCAAATCGTGGGAGAAAAGGATATATATTTGAAGTTGATTTGGAATATCCTAAAAAGCTATGGAAATCACATAATGACTATCCTCTTGCACCTGAGAAGATGATTGTTAATGGTGTTGAAAAACTTATATGTCATTTTAAACCCCGAAAAAACTATGTTGTACATTATCGTAATCTTAGACAATATCTTGAGATGGGAATGAGGCTTACTGCTGTTCATAGAGGAATATCATTTTACCAATCTTCTTGGATGGAGCCTTACATAAGAAAAATTACAGAACTTCGAAAAACAGCAGCTAACAGTTTTGAGAAAGACTTTTTCAAACTAATGAATAATTCTGTATTTGGAAAGACAATAGAAAACATAAGGAAAAGACAGAATATAATTCTTATTGATGATCGTAAAAAAGCTGCAAAACTAACAAGTCGTCCAAACTTTGATAGAGCAACAATATTTGATAAAAATCTTATTGCAGTTCATATGAAGCGTACAGAAGTGTATTTTAACAAACCAGTATATGTTGGTCACGCAATTGTAGATTTATCAAAAACATTAATGTTTGATTTTCATTACAATTATATCAAAAAGAAATATCGAAATAAAGCTGAGTTAATGTTTACAGATACTGACTCACTTTTATACCAAATTCATACGGATGATTTTTACAAAGATATATCCTATGATATATTAGAGAAGTTTGACACATCTGATTATCCACCAAACCATCCATCTGGAATACTAACAGGAGTTAACAAAAAAGTAATAGGAATGTTTAAAGATGAAGTAGCTGGTAGACAGATTACAAAATTTGTTGGCCTTCGTCCAAAGCTTTATACTTTCAAGATAGAGGATGGAAGTTTAACAAAAAAGTGTAAAGGTGTAAAGAAAAATGTTGTAAAAAAGGGAATAGAATTTGAAAATTATGTTGAGTGTTTATTTACTGGTGAAAAGCAAATGAGAACTATGAAAATTATAAGAAGTGAAAATCATGACATTTATTCAAAGGAAGTAAATAAAATAGCTTTGAGTAGTGAAGATGATAAGCGCATTGTATTGGAGGACAAAGTAGAAACTCTTGCTTTAAGATAAATAAGATATAAATAATAAATGACATATACAGAAGATCAAATAAAAAAATATCTAGAAATATTACATAATTATACTAAAAAACCAGTGGATGTGAGTAGAAAAGTTAGATGTAGAAATTGTCAAAGTGATAGTTTCTTAGTTGAATCAGGTTATAACATTTGCGATTACTGTGGTACAACTAATGGTCATGTTCTTGATTATTTTGACTTGAAAGAATACGATCGATTTCATTTTCGAAAAAAGAGTATTTATCAGGGAAAGTATCACTATGAAAAAAAGGTTGATCAAGTTTCAAGAAGACTACATCTAACTGAGGATGAAAAGTATGAATTATATAGTAAACTAATGGTAATAGACAAACATGTAATGGAAATAATAAACAAACAATTTTGTCGGAAGAGAATGATAAGCATTTTTTATTTAATCAAAAAACTTTTGGAGGAAATGGGTTGTGAAAAGTATAAACTAGTTTATCTAAAGATTTCTACCCAAACTATGGAGAATTATGAAAAGTGGTGGAGTAGTTACAAATCACTCCTTTGTGAAAGCACCAGTAAATAATACCAGTTAAATAACTAAGTACTTCACATTCTTTAAATGGTGTGTTAATTGCATATACACAACCTCTTCCAATCCTATAATGTTTCCAGAAAGCTTTAGAGCAAGCAAGACTAAATATTAAATGAATGGTAATTATATTTGAAAAGCAAGACTAAATATTAAATGATTGGTAATTATATTTGAATCGGAATTTAGGTAATGTCTTGCTTCTGTCAGTCTGTAAATAATTATATCTATTTCTAGTTTTTGTGAAAAATACTTAGCATAGAGAAACTGATAAACTAGACAAGCTTTTATGAAATTATCCGGATAAAATTGTGTTTCATACGTAGGAAAGTAAAGATTAACATATTCTACTATTGATTTGATCATTTTATATTTTATGTTTAGATATTAAATTAATATAATTAAATAATAAAATGAAAATACAAGTTAATCCTCGCTCTTTGTTAAATCTAGAACACATCTGTGAAGTGTTATACAAACTTCATCCTTCTGTTTTATATGACTTGGCTGAAATGGAAAGATCTTTGGGTAATATACTTGGTTTTATAGACTGCAACAATTTAAGTCTAGAAGAAAGAGAATTTTTAGCTAATATTGCTGAGGAAGTAGATTACTCAAAAGAACCTGAAAAACTGAAAGAACCTGAAAAACCGAAGGAACCTGAGGATTTATTAAAAATAATAGAGGAGTTGAAAGAACACCAAAACGGTATTCGTTTTCATGAGTTAAGAAAATATCTTCAACTAGATACTGATGAATACATTCCTATTAAGTTTTATATAGAAGTTGAAGATCCTTTAATAGGAAGAAATTTAAAAGAATTAGTCCATGCACTTGAAAAAACTCGTGCTCCAGAACAATTCTATTTACATAAAAAAGAAGTAGATGAAGATGCTTATTTTGCTGAAGGATATAACCTTACTTTGAATGAGGAACAAGAAAAACAAAGGAAAGATTTTTTGGGGGGTCAAAACGTTAAAGGTCTTGAAAGACTTTTAAGAGAGAAAAAGTTATATCCTTAGTTTAAAGATAAATAAATTATAATAATAGTAATGTCATCTTTTGCAACTATAAAATACAAATGTAATAGTTATCTTTATACTCGTGTTTATAATTATACCAAAGCCAAAAAGCGTGTAAAAGCTATTGAGTATAATCAAAGAAAATATCAAAAACTTGTTGATGAGATAAAGATTATAAATAAAATAAAAAATTATATTTACAATAGTTTAAATTATGCAAAAGAACCCAAAAAAATTTATATTGATTTGCATTTTATAAAAATGTTAGAATACTATATTTACCTTAATTTTTTTCATAAAAATATACAAAAATTATCGTATAATGAGCGCTTGTTGTTTTATCTTGAAGAAAAGATTAAATTTAAGGGATTAGATCCAAGAGAATGGGATATTAAGTATAAGTTAGTAGGTTCTAATAGAATTATGATTGGGATGAATCAAGGAGTAATTTTTTATAAAGATAATCTTTTTGTTTGATACGCATTATTAGTATTTAAAGAATATAAATTATTTAATTAGAAATGGAAGCTATACTTAATAAAAGAAAACAAAAGTTGATCAAAGAAGGATTAAATATTATAGACTCTTTCGAAAAATATACACTCAAAAATAATGCTGATAAGTATAAAAAATATTTAACTCTTAAGGAAGAAAAACTTATCAGTTTCTCAGACAAATGGAGTCAACATATGCGAGTTTTAGAAGATATTAAACGTGAACTTAATGAAAGAAATTTCGACTTTTTAGAGTCGTATGATGATATGTTTACAGAAATGAAAACCTACATAGACACTTTTAAACCAAAAGTGTTCTTAGAAAGAGAAAATCTTAATCAAATATGTGATAATGTTAAAATTATAAATGAAATTAGTGAACTACCAGATAAATCAAGATTGAATTATAATTTAAAATGTATAACTTTTTTTCATATACAAATGTTAATGGGGCGTTATAAAAAATATATATCAGATTAAATACGCATTTGAGTATTTAATCTATTAGTAAAAAGTCTAAGATTTTTTTAAAGATTTTTTTTGATTTTTTCTTGTTTCAGATATGTTATTCAATTCATATTTAATACTTTTTAAATTACTTACATTATAATCAAATTTTTTAATTTATAATACAAATCATCAACATTTAAATTTTTATAATTTTTAATTAAAGAATTAACTTTTTCATCTATTTCTTTAGATTCTTCAGATAAAGCTGTTTCGTAAGAACTAATTAATTGTTCTTCTAATTTTTCAAATTGATCCATTTTTTTTAGTAATTTAATCTTTAAACCTTTATATTAAATTTTTCACTATACCTCCTAGCAAATNATACGCATTTGAGTATTTAATCTATTAGTAAAAAGTCTAAGATTTTTTTAAAGATTTTTTTTGATTTTTTCTTGTTTCAGATATGTTATTCAATTCATATTTAATACTTTTTAAATTACTTACATTATAATCAAATTTTTTAATTTATAATACAAATCATCAACATTTAAATTTTTATAATTTTTAATTAAAGAATTAACTTTTTCATCTATTTCTTTAGATTCTTCAGATAAAGCTGTTTCGTAAGAACTAATTAATTGTTCTTCTAATTTTTCAAATTGATCCATTTTTTTTAGTAATTTAATCTTTAAACCTTTATATTAAATTTTTCACTATACCTCCTAGCAAATCTATCTGCTATAGGAGACTGATCAATTATCATTTCATCTATTAGTTTCATACGATCAACAAAATCTTCTTTATTCCACTCATCACCTCGAAGAGCTGCACGAAGTTCAACTAGTACTTTTTCATAAGTAGTAAATGTAATTCTTGACATTTCAATTTTTCTCTTATAATTTTTTTTCTTTCCAATTCCCGCCACTACAACTCCAGCACCATTTACAACTCCTAGAACAACAGGGTTTAGTGTAATCCGGCCAGTAATAGTTCCTATTGCAACCAGGCATATTCCAGAGATTGTAAAAACTTCATCAAGAAATTTGTAACTCTTATAACACTTTTTAAAACACCAGTATTTCTTGTGATAGTGACCATAAAAGTCTTTTAGGGTTTTAATGTCTGTGTATGATAGAGATTTATCTATATGATTAAATTCAAAGATATCCTTCATTTATAATTATAATATATAACTTCCATTTAACTTTTCCTGAAGAATTATTTTGTGATATTCTACAGAGTCAGTGTCGTAAAAGTTTGGAGAGTACATAAATTTTTCTATTATTCCATCTTGATTTAAAAACTCAAATTTTTGATTAGCTGATCTATTAACAACTGGGCAAACTAATTCTGCGGAGTATTCATTTATTTTAACTTTTGTTACATTTGAATTAATACTTTCTGTTATCCATAAAACTACTTTTTTTCCATTAAAACTACTTGGAATTGTAAAATTTTTGTTTGTATTACTTACATTTAAAGTTAGTTTTTTATTTGAATTAAGATAATATAAATATAATAAAAGTTGATTGCTATTTACATCTTTTTTAGATATACTAAAATTTCTATCTCTCCAAAGATTAAATATAATACATAATGTAAAACTTGTAAGCCCAGTATTAGCTGAATAAGTAATAGTATAACCATTAACATTTAATCCATCTTTTTTTATAATATCAACTGTTTTATTTGGGAAGGTAAGATTTCTTGCAGAATTACCTGTAATAGAGGATAAAGCATTAAAAACAACTCCAGATGAATGTTTGTTTAAAACATAACTATTTGAATTAGTAAAGTCAAAGAATTCACTAAAATATTTTCTGTAAACAATATTCGTTGTAAAATCAACTAATTCATTTACCATGGCAACTGTAGCAGCACTATTATTATTATTTCTATCGAGACCAATATTTATTATCTTTTTATTATTTGTATTTATATCAACATTGTATACAACTTGTGTTGGTTGAATTACGAATGCTTTGTGATAATCATAAACTTTATCAGGATCAATATTGTTAAATTTACCTAATATTCCATAAACAACCATGTAAGAACCTAAAAATTGTTGTGGATAAGTAGTCAGGTCACTTCCTGTTTGAGGAATTTTAACTTGTATGTGAAGAAAAAATTTATTACCAGATGATAACTTTTTAAAATTAACTATAGCTTTATGATAATACATATTTTGGGTTTGTGAAGTAGAATCAGTATATCTATGTGTAAGTTTTCTTATATTAATATTTTTAATTTGTAATCCTGATGAAGTTCCTCTATCAATTGTTATTTGAGTTTTATTCCATAATTTTTCATCACTATTTAAAAATTCTAAACACAACGTATAATCAGTATTACCAGTTAATCTATAAAAGTTAATTCCCATTTTATAATTATATCCTCCTTGAGAATCCTTATTTATACCCAAATAAATAACTTTGTGATTATAGTCATGAAAGTTTCCTTTGTTAGGTGCTAAATCATCTATTTTTTTTAATACAAAACTATTTCCTCCATTTGCTTCATCAGTCCATTGGCTTGCACTTGACATGAGGTAACTGAACTCATCTTTATTATGACTTGGTTGATTTGCGTTATGATGAATAAGTTTGTCAACATATTCTTTGTTTGTTGAATCTTTATCTTGTGTTGGTTCAGCAAGATTTGTTATTTTATTTTCATTTAGATTTAAGTTACCAGTCATTGCAACAGTGCCATCTTTTTCTAAATAATCACTGAAATCTGGACTTCCACTATTATCATCTACATATTTTCTTGTTGCAGCATCAGAGTTATCTGTTGGTGGTTTAACATTTTTTACTTTGTTTTGGTTCATATTCAGATCCCCAAACATTGGTATTATTCCATTAATTCTTAAATAATTTGAATTTGCGTAAATTAATGTAGTTGGTTGATTATTACCATTTGGCATTGGAAGATTTAATATTCTATTATTATTCATATCTATAGCCCCAGTCATCTTTTTTGATCCATCTAATTTAAAAAAGGAACTATCATTAACTTTATTTGCTGCAACTGTATCATCAACATATTTTTTGGTTGATGCATCTGTGTTTGTTGTTGGAGTTGCGAGACTAACTATTTTTTTGCTTCCAAGATTTCAGTTACCAGTCATTGCAACAGTACCATCTTTTTTCAAATAATTACTCATAGTTACACTATTTAATAAAAGCGTATCATCTACATATTTTTTGTTTGCAGCATCTGTGATGTTTGATGGTGATTTTAAATGAATTATGGCTTTATTATTCATGTTTAGATTATTAGACATTTTATTTGTTCCAGTAACATGAAGATATTTTAAATCTGTGAAAGCTAATGGTGTTGGTTGTTTGGGGCCTGTTGGAGCTGNTTCCACTATTATCATCTACATATTTTCTTGTTGCAGCATCAGAGTTATCTGTTGGTGGTTTAACATTTTTTACTTTGTTTTGGTTCATATTCAGATCCCCAAACATTGGTATTATTCCATTAATTCTTAAATAATTTGAATTTGCGTAAATTAATGTAGTTGGTTGATTATTACCATTTGGCATTGGAAGATTTAATATTCTATTATTATTCATATCTATAGCCCCAGTCATCTTTTTTGATCCATCTAATTTAAAAAAGGAACTATCATTAACTTTATTTGCTGCAACTGTATCATCAACATATTTTTTGGTTGATGCATCTGTGTTTGTTGTTGGAGTTGCGAGACTAACTATTTTTTTGCTTCCAAGATTTCAGTTACCAGTCATTGCAACAGTACCATCTTTTTTCAAATAATTACTCATAGTTACACTATTTAATAAAAGCGTATCATCTACATATTTTTTGTTTGCAGCATCTGTGATGTTTGATGGTGATTTTAAATGAATTATGGCTTTATTATTCATGTTTAGATTATTAGACATTTTATTTGTTCCAGTAACATGAAGATATTTTAAATCTGTGAAAGCTAATGGTGTTGGTTGTTTGGGGCCTGTTGGAGCTGGTATATTATATATTTGATTGTTGTTCATATCTAGATTTCCAGTCATTTTTCTTGTTCCATCTAGTTTTAAAAAGGAACTATCATCAAATGATCCACTAGAATTATCATCAACATACTTTTTTGTAGCAGCATCAGTATTAGCACTAGGTGCACCAACATTTCTTAGTTTTTTATTTATCATATCATAATCCCCACTTGAAGTGAGATTAAATCCAACTCCTGGGGCACCCTGAATTCCCCTAGCAAAGGGATGATCAAGAGATTGTTCGTTAAATATTCCCATTTTAATTATTGGTTAGATTACCAGTAAAATTTTTTGTAATACGTTTTTTTGGTTTATCAACGTATAAAAATGAATACTGTTTTTTAGTTGCTGCTTTATAATCTTCTTTATTAACTCCTAACTCAGATGATATTCTGTTTGCTTCCCTCGATGATGGAAATTCATATAAACAGTAATGAGAACAATTCAGCCGAATGTTCTTTGGTGTTTTATAAAACGACTGACTAAGATACACCACCGAACAATTCTTGTGTCGACCTTGAATGAAATAATCAATTAGTTGTCTCTGGTTTTTATCACAAACGTAGTCATCGAATATCACAAGTTTTTGATTGTCTTCATAATCCATTTCTGACACTGGAGTTATTTCATCATTACTTACATGAAGTATTTCATATCCCAGTTTACTACTAAACTCCCTCATTTTTTGAATTAACTTCTGATACTTATCCTGTTCTAGATTACGCCCGTAAAGATAAATCTCATCATAATACAGTAGTGGTTTAATTAACATGTGGTACAACAGATTAGTTTTACCACTTCCACTGTTTCCACAGATTAACATCCGAAATGTGTCTGATGGCATGTAAGAAAATAACTGTTTATATTTTTTATCTGGGTTGTCACCACTATCATAGTTTGGTATTTCCATTTATCTAATGATTAAATAAAATGGATGTTGAGGAATACAAAAAACTTGCAAGAAATAAAATTGAAGCTGAAGCTTTGACTCGACAGGTGAGAGATGTAATAAAAATAACAAAATGGCAAAAACAAAATATGAGAGAGGGTTTTAAAGAGACATTTAAACCACTTATTGAATCACAGGATAATGTTAAAAAAAGTATTGATAAACAGCAAGACTCATTAATAAAACAACTTCAAGCTAATCAACTTGCTCTTACACAAGGTCTTAATCAAAACAGACTTGCTATAACTGAAGGATTTGATAAAATGGATGAGGTAAAAAGATGGGAACTGTCGCAATTACCAGGTTTTGAAGCAATTGAAGAGCCTAAATTAAAGAAGATGATGGAGTTTTACCCTCTACATCAGATGAGGGACCAAAAATAGCAAAATTTAAAGCTGAAGACCTCGATAGATATTTAAATAGTAAAGATTCACAAGATATACTAAAAACTAACGAATATCACAAACTCCCTTCTGAGTATTTTAAAGAAGATGTTTCTACCAGTAATAAAGTAACTGATGATGTTAACGAAGATTTAGAAGAGTTGAGTGCAAGAATAAAAAATACTGCAGATTTTGTACAAGACGCAAACGGTTATGTTTTAGCTCAACCAAAAAGTAAAAAACCACGTGAAGAAACATTAGATTACATAAAAAATTATAACATATTAAGCATATATATGCAACAAATTTAAGTAATCTTAAGTATTATAAAACAAAATCTGGCTCTGGAATTGTTTACTTTAACAACCCACATCAACTTCTAGACAGACTTGAATTACTCGGTGGTTCAATTCTTGCTGGGAATAATGGTGTAATAACTGAGTTTTCTCAAATAGCACATCTTCTCAACCAAATGAAAGTGATCTCAAAAAAACAACTAAATGATTTACTAAAAAATTATATATCTATTAAATAAAAATGGAAGAACGAGCTATCCACATTTCCTCAATAAACAGGGAAAAAAGAGGAACAAGCAGACCTGGTGATTTTACTATTAAGTTTAATCCATCTTTGAAACTTGACCCTGATAAGAAACACCAACTTGCTCTTGATCGGTTGTCCATGACTTACTCTTGGTACAACATTAGTAGCGATTATAAAAACAATAAAATCAAATATACCCACGATGGTTCCACCTGGCAAACAATTACTTTTGTAGATGGAGCGTATTCCTATTCTGATATCAATGATTACATTCACCAATTCATGGATCAAAAAAATCATCACTCAACAGATTCAAGTGGAAAAAAAACTTATTCAATCAATCTAACTTTTATTCTCTCCACATATCGAGTTTTAATTTCAATTAGTGATAACTATCAACTTGATCTGAGAGGAACAGAATTTGGTGACCTAATTGGATTTGAAAAGAAAATTGTTACAAGCACAGAGTATGGAAAAAAACTACCAAATATAACAAATTCGATTGATGTGTTAAATATCAACACAAGCGCAATAACTAATAGTATTGTAAATGGAATAAATACAAATACTATTTCTGTTATACCAACTGATAATCTAACAAGGTCTTTTCCATTTACGTTTGAACCTAAAAGACCATTGTATTGTGATGTTTCTTCATTTCACATTGATGAAATGAGAATATATGTGACAGACTCACTTGGAAGACAAGTAAATTTTAATGGTATAGATTGGTTTATGACATTAATTCTTCATTCAATGTAATATAACTATTAAAATAAAATGATGCGACAATCAGAGTTTAAAATGAGACTTGACCCTGAATTGGGTAGATATACAAGACAACATATTTATGGAGAAGGAATTATGGGAGATTTTAAATCAGTTGGTAAAAAAATATTTGGAAAGACAATGAAAAAAGCTGCTAAAAAGGGTGCCCAAAAAGCGGTAACAACAGCTGCAACAAAAACTGGTGAACATGTAGGCAAAAAGGCTGGTGATAAGATAGTGCAAATGTTATCCAAAGGGGAGGTTGCACCCCCCCCGAAAACGTCCTGCTAAAAAAGTTACTTTTAATAAAAATGTTGAAACAATGACTCAACAAGAGATAAATCAAAGATTGAACAACCTTCTTAGTGGAGGTTCAACACGTAAGAGAAAATTATATAATTATTAAAATAAAATGAAGTCATTTAGAAATCCAAAATATTTAGATAGATATGAGGATGTTGTTTTTGACCTGGAACAGACTTTAGATGCGGCTCCAGCAAATAACGCTCACCAAACTAAAACAGGTCTTAGATTTGTTGCTGATAACACAGGAGAATCTACTCCTTTTGATTGGTATAACGCCCGATTATCAATGGATTTTAAAGTAAATAAGCTGGCAGATGGAGGAAACATTGCGATTGCAGACCATAACGGAATTGTAAATGGTAGTAACTCATTTATAGAAAAATTAAGTCTCCTAGCAAATGGTGGAGAAGTTTATAGTTGTAACTACGCAAATCATGTTGTAAATATTAAAAATCTTCTTGAGTATAATCCTTCATATGCTCAGAGTGTTGCTACAAACGAATTTTATTTTCTTGATACATCAAGATCTGCAGAGGAAAGACCTGCTCAAGCAACTTATAATAAAGGTTTTCATCGAAGGAAATTACTATTAGGTGTATCAGCCACAGTAAACTGTGAAATTCCTCTTAATAGGTATTCTTTCTTTGAAGCATTGGAAGATAAATTACTTCCAAATACAAAAATTGAGCTAAATATAGAAACTGAAAAAGATGCAAATTTAATTTTTAAAGCTGCTGATAATTGTAGAGTTATTATAACAAGACTACAACTTTTTGTACCAAAACTTACGTTTAATTCAGATGGAGAAAAGTTGTACATGGAAAATTATCTTAAACCTTACAAATGGACATATTTGAATGAAGTAGTTGAAAGATCAAATAATACACAACAACAGACAGGACATTTTAGAATTACAAATGCTATTTCAAAGCCAAGGCATGTATTTATTTTTGGAATTGATACGGCAAGAATTGATTCACAAACAGCAAATCCATTTTTGTACGACACTTTTGATCTGCCAAATGGTGCTAATATATCAAGATGTTATCTGGAAGTTGCAAATGGAAACGAATACCCGGATATTCACTTTAAACCTTCTACAGATATGTCAAGGGTTTTTAGAAATGTAATGTCGTACGTCTATGCAAATAATGATTATCAAGGTGGAACATTACTTAATATAAGTAATTTCAAATCTATATTTCCTTTTGTTTATTTTGACCTAACAAAACAAAAAATGGATATCAAAGATGGTGTTACAAAATTAGCATTTCATTACGAATTATCTGCTAATCCAGACGCTGATTATAATATTTACGCATTAGTCTTACATGAAAGAGTAGCAGAAATATCACAACAAGATGGAAAACTATTGCTTCGTGCTTAGATTTAATATAATTCTATAAATAAATGACAACTTATATTGAATATGGTGTAACACTTACAGATGGACAAAAGTCAAAATTGGCTTCTGCAATATTAAATAAATCACCCCTAACTATTCGGTTAAAACATTCTCATCTTCGAGGTTCTGATGAGTTAATGTTAACAAAAAGACAAATTTCTAAAATAAAAAAATCTATTGCAAATGGTACAGGATCAGATATAATGATAAGTAAAACTCAAATTAGACGTTCTGTAAAACATGGTGGAAACTTATTTACTTCACTAGCATCTCTTGGAGCAAGAGTACTACCATATGCAGTAAAAGGAATTTCAAAAGCTGTTCCTGCATTGGCTACTGGTGCTGCTACTGCACTTGGAGAAATTGGATTAAATAAAATATTTGGAAAAGGAATCACAATTCCCCCACAGTTTTTCCCAATGCTACCACCTCTTGTAAGAGAATTTACCAAATCACAAATAAATCAAATTAACAAAGCTTATCAAACAGGTGGGCGATTAGTTATAAAACCAACTCGTAAACAAATAGAAGGAGGATTTCTTGGAACTCTTGCATCAATTGGAATTCCAATGGCAATTAGTTTAGTATCTAAGATGTTTGGATCTGGACTGCAGGTTGATAGACGAGGATCATCTAATACAGCAAATGTTTACGTTCCACATCCTCCTCCTCCACCCACACATGGTGAAGGTTATCCTTACTACCCACCACCCTTTTTAGGTACATGGGGAAACCCAATTGGAATGGGAGTAAAAAAAAAGTCCAAGGGCAAAGGACTACTATTAGGAAAAAACAGCCCATTCAACTCAATTCCACTAATAGGGGACATTTTGTAATTAAACCTCTATCCAACTTTGACCTTATGGAATGGATAAAAAGACTTGGTATTAAACATTTTAGAGGAATTTATAGTAGGGATGGACTACCAAATAGAATAAGAAAAGAATGTGGAATAATTAATCTAGATGATATAACAGGTCCTGGCACACATTGGGTTTGTTATAGAAATATAGACAATGTAGTTGAGTACTTCGATCCATTTGGACTAATAATGCCAAATGAAGTACTGGTGTATTTTCATACAGCTAAAAAACGCATAGTTTACTCAACAGATGAAATACAAAATCGCAGTACTGGTCTATGTGGTTATTGGTGTTTATACTATCTGTTTGAGAGACAACGGGGTAATAGTATTCTAAATGTAATACATAACCCTCATTTTGATAATGACAATAGTGATTTTATAAAAGCTTATTTTTCTTAATTTTTTAAGATTAAATAAAATAATTTATTTAATCTATACTATTTAGGGTAATACGATTTAAATTTATTTTCAATTTCGCTATAATTTTTTTCTAATTTTTTCAAATAATAATTAAGATCTAAAAGCCTAATAAATTCTTCAGAAGTTTTAAAATTTTTATCTTTAATATTTAAAATTAAATTATCCCAAAATTCTTCTTCTTTTTCATTAAAAAATAAACTTAAATCAGTATTTCCTTTTCGAAAATCATTTATATATTTTATAATTTCAATTCTAACCTTTGCTCTTTGCCTTGCTATATCGTTATCATATAAACCTCTTAAAATACCTTTCATTTATCTTTATATTACTAATTTTAAAGCTATTTTATTCACTATGTACTGATTTATTCTTTAACTTTTTAACCATCTCAACTTTTTTATTTAGTGCTTTAACTTTATCAATAATTTAATTAAAATTAGAATAAATATCAATAAGTCTAAATAATTTCTTATTTTTATCAGCATCTAAACTAAACCAAGAATATTCATTATTTCTAATTCTCATCCACATATTAGACTCACCAGCTATTAATACTCGAGAAAGATAATCATTACTCTTTCTAAGAGTTTCAAACTCATTGTTTATATTCTTAGGAATAACTTAATTAGACCCAGGCCCTCGCGGCTCGTCAGCTGTTTTCTTCACGGCGCTTGTTGTCATTTTATATCCTTGTCAGTTCGCTCGTTCGCTGTTACATCAATTTCAGCATTTCGCTCCAGTTTCTTCAGTCTTTTAGCCTCTTATTATGTCTCAAGCCGCCGGAAAACGTCGCACTCGAGTACCTGTGCTGCCTGCAGGGTTCGTTTACGATTTGCCTTCCCTCG